ATCCTCGAAGGTGGGCCTCCCACCTCATGGACCCAGAGCCCCAAATGTCTTCCATTCCCCACTGCCTCTCGCTGCCATATTTTTCTCTGTTTTCTCATTTTAGGACCTTCACAAATACAACAACTGTCCATTCTCTTAAGGTAGTGACCCAAATATCAGCAAAGCCTATACCTCTTACCCTTGCAGCAAGATAGTGCCTTCAAGGATTTTTGGTTGTAGTCAAGTGAGTTTCTGGGACTTTTCTGGATAGAGCAGAAAAACAGAAATGATACCCCACTTCACTGTGTATGCACCAGTCCAGTACCCAGCAGGTGTCCATATCCCTACACAGTTGGCATTTGGAACTGGGTACCTCTTCTTTGTGGGGGAGATCCTATGCACTGTAGAATATTTACCAGCATTCCTGACCTCTGTCCACTAGATGCCAGAAGCACCCTCTCCATTGTGATATGGAAAAATGTCTCCAAATTTTGCCAAGTGCTCTTAGGTGACAGGATGACTCCCGTGCGCCAGTTAAGAACCCCTTTAGGACTTTTCTGGCACAACCTGCCACAAAGTAGCCCCTGTCAGGTCTAGATTCCATTGGCCCCGGCTTCAGCCCTCCAATTTGTAGCCTGGGACCCATCACACATGCTGCCTTTGGGGCCACTGTCCATGACTCCAGTTCCTGGCTCACAACATTCCAGGATGGCTGCCCCAGAGTTGGTAGCAAGGCTAGTATGTGGGTCATTGGAAATGGCTCCCAGATAGAACAGAAAGTGAGAGGGGCATATTTCCAACAGATATTTTGGTTAGGTTTTGAGAATTTTCTTGATTCTGACTCTGCCACTCTGAGCCGGACTGCACAGTGGGCAAAAAATTAATAAATAAAGTGAACCCCAAGGCTCTTTTTCTAAGTAGTTTGCTCCAATTTGCAGAAAATAGCTTTAAAAGGATCTCATTTTATGAAATCCCTATATTCAAGCAACATAAGACATCCTCTCAGCTGCTTTAAGAAAACACCTCAGAGGTCAATAAGGCACTGGAGGGGAGAGAGGAATATATATCTTCTACCTCCTGTTGTCAGATTTCCATCTCCCTTCAACATACATCTTTTTACCCATTTTCTTCTTTTCCCTTTTGAAAGATTAACTATATAAATTTCTAAATGGAGATAAAAGTTTGCCAATGAACATTAGAATCGCTCCCTAACTGCGCGATAGCTCACTGCTCTGAAATGCAGCAGCACAAGTTCATACGGCATTACTGTGCAGGTCGTTTCTTTATGAAGCTTTTTCCTTGGTGTTAAAGGGCCTAAAGTACCATATGTTTCTTAATAAAAAGTCATGTAAAAACCTACATTAATAAACTGAACTCAAAGAAAAGCTGCCCCAAGACAGCTCTAACCAATCCTTTTTATGAGCTTGCCAACAATTTCAAGATTGTTTTAATGAAAAAAATTTATGTTCCTGTCTTTGTGGACCACTGCACGCCAGTTCTCCCCCATTCGCTCCCACTCCAGCCTCCAGGCCCAGCCAATCCTCCAGTGCCCTTAGAGGGGCTCACTCATACCTTGGCAAGCAGTTCACTGGAAGGACTGAGTTTTCTAGAAGCCCCGGTGCACACATGTGGCCCAGCAGCCACTTCTAAGTCCTTGCCTGCTAGCATTCTCCGGCACCACACAGCCACCTCCAAGGCCACCCCACCTTCCCCTGAGGCTGTGTGCAGGGCAGCCTGCATGACCTAACACCTTTAAAAAGGAAAATTCCTTGGAGTCCAGTTTGAGGAGCCATGAGTACATTTCCAGATTTATGTTTTAATATGTTGAAGGGGCAGGAACATGGGCTTTAGATCAACATTTATCATTTGATATTGTAACGGCTTATTTATTTGCTGGTCCCAGCTACCTACCAGATGGCAAATTAAAAGTGGGATTGTATTTTGTAGATTAAATATAATGCTTGGAATAATGGCTGGTTTGTCAAATAGGCCTTCAATCTATATGCATTGGAATTTGATTGCATTCAAATTCCAGTTTGACCGCATACATATTATGTAATGATAAGTTACATAATACGTGTCTGTTGATGAAATAAATAAATGAAAGACAATGTTAAGTAGTTGTTATCATGATAGAAATCACTTAAAATGATGTCACCTTTATTTTTACTATATTTTAGTTATATTTATTACTATGATGAATGCTAGCTATATGTACCTAAGGCAGTGTACCCACTTTGAACCTCAGTTTTTCCCATCTGTAAAATGGATTTCACAGTTTGCTACCTTACTAGGTGACTATGAGGATTAAGGATTTCACAGTTTGCTACCTTACTAGGTGACTATGAGGCCTGTAATAGATGCTCAATAAAGTTTTGATTCTTCTAGTTTTCATTTCACAGTAGAAGTAGTAACCACTTTGATTTCTGCTGCCTATCAGAAGGCAATAACACTGCAGCTCCCCTTGTTGCTCAACATATGAAACATCTGCCCCAACATCTGCCCCAATCCTGCAAAGAGCAGATGTGACTCCCCTGCAGCCTTCCCCTTCCCATCCTGATGGAGAATATATAGAAGGAGGCACTCTGGCTTGGAAGAAGTACTAGCCAAATTTTTTGCTAATGTCGATAGATTATATCCTTATCATCTACTTTTTGTTGTTGTATTTAATTCTTAATACACTTATTTTTGAGAAGTGCTAACTTGTCTCCATAGAGCTAGTGAGGAGAAGACATCACTGCTAAATCTTAGTGGTTCTGTAAATTTGCCGGGTGTTGGTATGAGAGTGGTGTCTAGGAGGTGAAGTTTTCTTGGGTTGAGGTGAAAATTGACTATCGTAGGGCTTGGTGTCTTTCCACCCAGAGTTATTTGTCTAGTGAACTCTGGATTTCTTTCATTGCCTTTTCTTATACCATAATAAGAATAAAATAAGAAATGTTTTAAATATTTTTAAATATTTAAATAAAATAAGAAAATATTTAAATAAAATAAGAAAATACTTTAATTATTTTTTAATATTTTCATTTCATATAAATTGGCATGTAGAAAAAAGAAAAGGTGTGTCTTGTGTGACCACAGGGGCAGAGTCAGGACAATGGATAGCAGTCAACACAGATGAAATTCTGGGTCTGTATAAGAAAGAACATTCCAGCAGTTAGAATATTGTAACAAATGGAGAAAGCTAGCTAGAAGGTATCACACTTACCACCCCTGGAAATGTCCAAGAAGAAATTTGGAAAACCTACTCAGAGATGCCATACAAGTAATTCTTGTTTAAATAAGAAATTGAACTAGAAGACATGTAACAAAATTGAATATTATTTGACCCCAAGGATAATTTGACATTGTTCTTATTTCTAACTTCACATGTCTACTCAAGCAGGATGAATCTATACACTTTCTTCTATGATTAGGCCTCATAAGCCCTAAATTAAGTTGGTGTCTATTTTAGCAGATGCCATCTGATTACGATAGGAGAAGCCTTTCAGCCAAAGGTTCTTTGTAACTGAGGCCTTAAATTTCTTTTCCTAGCTCCCTTGTTTGTCCAGCTAAATTTCCTTTTTTTCTTTTGTCATCAGACAAGTTCTTCCCCACCCCCACTCTGGTTTTCATCTACATGAAAAGGTTCTGACCCTTGGCTTCTCTTGACTCCCAGTCACTGCACATGCCCTAAATTCTGCATGTCTGCATTTCTGCTTTGCCTTGGTCTTAATTTATATTTGCACTTGATTCCCAACTACTTGCACACTGACTCTTATGGTTAAGTGACTGAGTTCTGGATTAGCCTGGGTTCAAAATCTGGTTCTTGCTAACTGGAACACTTTAGACAAGTTACTTTAGTCCTCTAAGCTTTATTTAATCTCAGTTCTCAGTTATTAAATGAAAACAATTTTAGTACCTATGTGATAAGGAGGTTGGCACTGAGTCTGCTCCCAGTATATGTTACTAAGACTTTATTTCACATAAACTTCAATTCAGCCTCCTCAGGTCCCAGTTTCTTCATCCTTTTGATACTGTGACACCATCAACCACCATCCCAATACAAACAGAATCTTAATTTAGGCTTCCCTTGCTTAATAGATTGGATATGTTCCAACTAAGCTGGCTATAAAATAAGTCCTATTTGTCCATCATATTTCCTTATAGAGTGGTAAACACAGTTCTCTCAAAAATGATTTTGAGTTTGAAGATAATGAAGTTGAACTTCTGAATTCAGAAAACCTTTCAAAATCAAAAAAATTTACCATGTTATCCATACTCAAAGCAGTTGTCACAATCACACAGTTTACACAGTTACAATAGGGAGAAGACAGCAAGTACAAGAAGCATGGCATCCCCCACATTCCACCCATCTGTGATATGTAGCTCTTTAGAATGAATGTGTGACTAAATTCATGAATTTGTGAGTTTAGAAGTCTGTCCAGCAAAGTGAGATCATTTGTCAATGTTGCAAAATCACTGCTCACTACTATGTTTAGCATTATTATTCTGTCTCAGGACAGGCAACTTAAAGAGAACCAGATATCATGCGGGTTCAGACAAGAGGGCCGTGGAAATGTTTTTGATGAAACAGGCACTGTGCATTCTTGTTAGCCATTGGCTGTTTCCTGAATATGTCTATCAATCTAAAATTCACCAGACTCCTAGAAGCAAGACTTGAACCAAACCTAACTCCAAACAAAATTCAAATAGAACTGAACCCAAATGTTAATGCTTCACTACACCATGAACTGAACCAACTTTCCTGGGGGGAAGGGGAAAAAGCTACTAAAACAGTTTGATTTGAAGCCAAAACTATATATTTTATGAAACTATTGAACTGGAACAAAATAAGATCAAAATATTCCCTGAACTAAATTTAAACTAAACAAATAATTTTTTATTTCTTTCAAATTGAATCCCTGGCTACAAATAAGGCTTACTTTAGTGCATATGACATTTAACTCAATATCCATACAGTTTACATTGGGCAACCTTTTTCTCTTTAAAAAATTTTAATGTCAGTTTTCTCCTTCATACAGAAGGATAATAATCTGAGATACTGGGAGGACTTAAAGAAATAATAAGCAAATGCTTTCATCATCATCATCACCATTGTCATCGTCACCACCACCATCATCATCATCATTCTATCTGCGTTGTGCCCAGCACTCAAAGGGTCGATTTTGCATTTTAAGTCCTCCAATATGTTCACTGGCCACCAGAGGGCAGCAAAAAGGTAAAAACCCATTCTGGAACTAACTGGAACTTGTCTTATTTATAAAGACACGCACTGTTTTAAAGCATCTTGCATATATTAACATATTTAATCCTTAAAACAATGCCACGAAAATGGGTTATTTTATTATTACAATGGAGATGAAGAAACTAAGATAAAGAGAGGTGAAGAAATTTGTTTAAGGTCACCCAACTAACAGGTGGCAGAGCCAGAATTTGACCCAGGTAGCCTAGTTACAAAGCCCTCACTCTAACCTACCCCTATGTACTTGGATATTAATTTTGGAGGATGCTCACCTGGGAGAGGTTTAGATCATGGCCTCATTCATAGGCATGAGTAGAATTGCAGCCTAGGATGACCTTATAAAATCTGTCCACAATTCAGGTCCTAGAATAGGAAAAGCTGAAACCTGAGCCAGAAGAGTGTGACGTAGTCAACAGTAGTGCTAGGGAATAATTCGTGGCATGAGCATCAACCAAATGAACAGAAACATTCAGCAAGAGGGGAGGAAGATGGGGTTTGGGCATAAATGTAGGAAAATGATCAGGGCAATTGCCCTTGACAAAAGAAAATAGTTCTTTTCATGGTGGCTGTGTCCAACTGGCTCATCCTTCTGAAGCTGCAGTATGTCTTGAGGTTTAAAGAGCCAATACTAACAAGACAACAGGGAGTTGATTCTGTTCCACTTCACAGTAATTTCCGTCTCCTGGTTTGCTTGTTTCGTTTAGTTTTAAAAATGAAAAACAAGATTAAACAAAACAACAACAAACCAAAAACCTATTATTCTGCTCATCCCAGCCAAGTATCTCAAAATAATAGTCCATACTACTTCTCATCATCTCCATTTCTACACTCTCCCACGCCCACTGCCCTCAGCCCTCATCACTTCCCTGAGTCCAACCTTACCAAGGCCATCAGTCATCTGCCAAAAGTGCTCAGTTCAATCACTATTTGTCATCTTTTCAGATGTGCTTTCATCTTTTGACATTGTTGATTACCCTTTTCTTCAAGAAATTCCCCACGACCACCTCCCCACTTCTTTGATTTAAAATGCCTTGTATGATCATCCTTAACCTTGGATCTAGCCCTAATTATCTAAACCACGTTGTAGTCTGCTTGCTAGCTCAATCCCCCCCCCCACCCTCTTATTTAAAAAAGCTGCAATATCCTTTAATTGCCATCCTTTATCCACTCTGGATACTCCAATCTATCTTAAACAACACCACAGGTAGAGTGTTCTAAAATATACCTTGATTGTGTTTCCCCTGCTTCAAACCATTCAATGATTCCTGTTTTCCACATGATGAAAATTATTTAGGACGGATTTGAAAGTCATCTTGATTTCTTGCATTCTTTCCCATGGGATTCTGACAATGACCCTACGTGTGCCCTTTGTCTACTCATGCTATTCAAAGTTATTTAAATTCCCTAACTTGTCAAGACTCTCTTCCCTAACATCCTTCAAAATTCAGCTCAATCATTTCCTTCCTTTTGTATAGACAGCCATGATATACTTTTCCCTAAGCAGAGATGCTGGTCTCCCCCAGAGAGCTCCAATGCACACAATCTACTGGATGACCATGACTCATTTACAGCCATGGGTCTCCTGAAATAGACTCAGCTAGTCTTGGAGAAGTACCATGTGGAATTTAGCCTGGTATACTCAGCACCCAGCACAGAAATTCACTTAATATATATATATATATATCTGAGGAATTTTCTTAAGAGAAAAGAAACCAGCAGGGGGATGGTGAAACTGAGATACAAAGACTGGTGCATTAGTGCTCCCAAGATGGTAGGTGATATTGACCTGGAACCCTGCTTTTGAATATATCTTATGAGTTCCTAAAGATCTAAAGCATAGAGGCAATGTGGAAAGCTGCAAATCATAAGTCAAGTCATAGTCATCATATTAATTTTATTTCTTTATCAATGACAAGGCAATAAGAATGTTAACAAGAACCAGAAGGGGCACGCTGAACTGAAGGCCCAATGCAAGTAGGTCTACAGATCCAGAGAGCAGCCCGCGGCACTGGCTTTTCTCTCTATGTAGCCCTGAGTGGAACAAGTCCTGACAGTTTAACATGGAGTATAACATGCTCTCTGGGTAACAGGGCACTTAGCATATTTGACTAGACTCATGTGGACCAGATTTTTTGTTTGCTTGTCTTGCCAAAAGGAGTAGAATCTGTTCACTCAGCCTCATTCCTACCCTCTAATTTAGTAGTAATTTAATAGTCTGAGAAAATTTGTATGTACAGCTTCCCCATTTGTTTAGAAAAACTTCAGAGAAACATCACCATTGCTCTAATCTGTTATCCTAGCAGAAAACGGAGCTATAGCCAGGAGAGTCAGGGGCTATCAGCAGTAGCTGCTCACCTGCTGAGTCCACTTCTCTTTTTTGTCTTGACTCTGAAGAATGTAAGATGATGATAAGCATGAGCTTCCTGGTCTTTTCCACTCTATTCTCAGACAGTAAGGTGGGATTTAGGGTACAGTAGGCCACATTTCTATTACTGCAAATCAATAATGTGGGTTATTTCACTTTTTCCCACTGGATTTACCTCCAGTTTCCACTGTGGCATGCTGATTACACAGATGGCCTTTGCATTTAACACTCTGGGTTCATATCCGAGTTCTTCAAGTTATTAGCCACGTGACTTTCAGACAAATCATTTAACCCTTTGGGTCCTCAATGCTCGCTGTTGTAACATGGGGATAATAATAACTTCCTCTGAGAGTTGCTCTAATGAGAAAATGCCTGTAAAATGCTTGGCATCAAGCCTGAATCAGCACTTTGTAAACTGACTCTCAGTTTAAATTCTTAGAAATTGGATTGGCTTTCATGAACCTCTAGATCAATCCAAGGTCGGTGTACCTTCACATCTGGTATAAAACATTTTGAAACCTCAGGATGACTACTATGTCTGAGAAAATTTGTAGAAATAGCTACAAAAATTTGAGAAATAGCTAAGCACCACATCAGCTGACGAGAAAGAACAGACCTGCCCCCATGGCTGAGGGTAATCACTCTTGCAATCACAAGCAATTTTGCTACTGTCAGTATCACTGAGTCAACATGGATTTGGATGAGAAAGCTGGATCACTGTGAGTTTATTCTTATATAAGCCAATCTATCAATAAATTCCAATTGCCCCCTCTTCTAAGTGATCTGGTAACAAAAGGAGTTGACAGGCCTGGTCATTGAGTCTGGAATCCTACATCCAGCTGAATTATGCATGCAGAATTTTAGATCAAACTGAACAAGAAATCAGGAGAGAATTGAGCCAACTTTCCAAGTGCAAGACTAAATGTAATTTGATTTTGAAATTTCAGATCAAGTTTTCTGGACTGACCACTAAAAAATTCTTGAATTTTCTTCTCTAAAGTGGCATGCATAACATCATTGAATGCATAAAGATGCTGTTTCCATAGTCACTTTCCTAAGCATAATCCTCGTGTATATATAGAGGTCAATAGTGGCATGCTGATGGAGAGGATGACCGAGGAGAGACTAATAAAAGACCCTTGGAAGGCTTTCCAGATTTTACAACTGCAGCTTTTTTAAAGTTAGCTCTCAATTAAGGTGCTGGAAAACCACACCACTAAAAGGGCACTTTCACTAACACAGGTCACCCAAAATGAGATGAAGAATGTATTTCAACAAGAAAAACAGTAACAAATATAAGCCTTCAACACAAGCCTCCTCAATACCAGTGTGTGACTTACAGAGATATACATCAGTCAGAATTCACAGAACGATCTCTCTCTCTCTCTCTCTCTCTCTCTCTCTCTCTATATATATATATATATATATATATATATATATATATAAAATGTATGTGTGTATATAATACCTATCTATCTACTCTGTATATACAATATCTATCTATCTTCATGTATGTGTATAGGGACTTGATATGGAGCCTCACATCCTCAGTGCAGGAAGTCAGGAAGGAAAGATGGATATAATGTGGTCTCCTGCAGGCATGTGCTAGAGTTCCACAAAGACAGACTGAAACATGAGTCACTTCTTACCTCTCAGTTTAGTGGTACAGATAGACAGGATCCTTTATGAAGGAACTAAATAGAAATACAAGCATTGCCACTTTTAAACAGTCAGTATTATGCGGTATTGCTTTTATGGAAGACCTACATTAATACTTATACTAACTGAAAGAACATGATGAGGATTTTTGCTTTTTTGATAGAGGGTGAAAGTAGCTTCCAACATTGGTTTTGTAGCAGCCATTCTGGATGCAGCCTGCACTGTGAGTAATGAGAGTACCCTGACAACATTCGTTCCCAGAAACTACTTTCTACTGTCTGTATGCATCATACTATTCCTGCTTTTACTGTTTGTTAGTGTTATTTTAAGTCATGTTATTTGGTAGGTTATTTTCCATTTAAATTAATGGTAATTGCTTTTTTGTTTTACACATTTTTAGCTTAAGAGAAAGGTTTCATAGGGACACTCTCCTTTTGAAGAGCAGGGAATCTGTAGCTAGCCTAGGAGTTGAAGAAGCTGTAAGAGGATCCAGAGGAAGGTAAAACAATTGCTGGTCTAGTTAGAACCTCACCCCAGTAAGGTGAGTCAGTGGATATTAACAACATGATAAGCTACAAAAGGGCTGCTGTTCCACTTTCTCCCAAGTCTTTCACACCCCTTTGGTAGCCACCCTTACTAGAAACATACAGGAAAGAGAATTCTGGGAAATGTAGTTCAGCCTGGCTGCATTGACAGCATATGAAACCATTACAAATAGATTTATGTCTCCCTACCCCAGATCTCTGTGTAATTCCTGAATGGGAAATGCCTTGCCCAGGATAGAATGGCTTGAAAGCTCATAGGATAGAGATTATTTTCGTACTTCATCGTATTTTCCACAAACTAAATATAATTGTTACTTTCAAAAGTAATTCTGATATTTAGAAATCTCAGTTGAATTCAGTCTGTTAGGTGTTATCCTAGAAACTAACTTATGATGCCATGGAGACTCCCTTTGTCCTACACATGCAGACAAATACACAGACATTAATCTCTGGTCCATAAACATCATTTCACCAGCTCAAATTTCATATATTTTCACTATTAGGTAAATGGCAGATTTTCTCAGGGATGTGAAGTGATGTGCCTGATCTCATTGTCCACTCTGAGCACTGATGGCCTTGAGATTGAGAGATCACATTGCCTGATACTAATTCATCTGGAAAACATCAAACCTGGACTGCTCTTTAAAGTTCATTTGTGTCTCTGAGTTTTGCAATAACCTCAGTGTATTGAGATGGTAGAGGTGAACATTACCATTTTAACCAACTCTTTAAAATAGAAAAAAAATATAGGGAACAATCACATGGCAATATTAAATATTTTTTTCATTATATTTTCTAATAACTCTCAAGCACTGGTAACCATAAAAGCCTTCATAATGTGTTTATTGAGAACAGTAATCAGTGCAGGATGGAATTTTCAATATAACACAGGCAGGTTTTCTATGAAAGTGGCACAGGGAACTCTTCCCCTTTGCTGGAATATAAACTTAACTCCCTCTTTAGGGCATTGAGGTAGTAAAACACAAGAGAACTTCCTAATGGAAATGAGACTATTCTCATTAAATTAAATGAGACCATTTAATGTGGGTGAAAGTGATTTAAAATTCACACACCTCTTGCAAATATGTTCTTGATTTACTTTTTAAAGAGTAAAATGGGTTTAGTAAATATTGCCAGGTATAATAAATCATAAAACATTTAACACCGATTTGTCAAATGTAGTTTACATGAACTAGCACTTAGTGTTATTTATGCCAGACTAAATGAAATGGCTGATATGTTAGGCGGGTTTTCAACCAGTTAGGGAACATGCAGTGAACAAAACATTGTGCTGGGTGGTATGTTAGTTATAGAAAATTACATGATACTACATTATCCCCAAAAAGCTTACAGTTTGGATGGGGTATTCAATCAACAATACAAGGCAGTATGTGAGAAAGCAGCTTAGTTACATTTAAACCAACCAATCAAAAACCACCCTTTCTTATCTGATTCTACCCATCACTCCGACCTGGCCACCATCCATTATGAAAGTCCTAGTTTTCTACAAATGTTAAGTTGAACCATCTATTTCCAACTTCTTATCCTATCTTGCATCCTCTTTCTAAAAATTTTAAGTTTTTAGCACTTGCTCTCTCACTTTAGATGCCTTCACAATCTCTTCTGGGACCAGCTCTCGGTTCCACTCTTCAAATATGACTATTGCTTACTGGTTATATATATATATATAACTTATATATATATATATATATATATATATATATATATATATAACTTAAACAAATCCCTGTAACATCCTGATGCAGTTCATACCCTGGGACTCTACCCTAATATCGGTTGATTTGGCAATATCATTACCTGCTCTGTTCCTGTTCTGAGAAGTATGTAGATCGAAGTTATTGGGATTTGTTTCATCTGTTTCATTGGAAGCTAAGTTAGATCATAGAGGGAAGGGGAAATGTTGGATCAATAGAAGTAAATTATAAACTGAAGTTCTAGATTAAGAGAAAACTTTGCCAGTGAACAGTCTCAACATTCAAGTGCTTTCTAAAATAATAAATTTCCTCTTAAATACAGGGACCTACTTGTCATCTTGTACAGCATAGTATTTCCACTGTCAATTCTCAAATGGCCGATATATTCCCTCCATCCCAGTTATTTCATCAGGAGCAGAACATGAGCTCTATTACATCTGTCACTCTGTGGTCAAGGACTCAAGATCGATCCAGAGAAAACTTTATAATAAAGGGTTTGAATTCTAGGGCAGAGGAGTTGAGTTGGCAGGAGGGGAGAGGTCAGGCTTGACTGTAAAGTTTGACTTGGTATGCCTAACATCAGGAGATACAAGGGGAAATGTATCCCCTTACATGGAAAAATTGGAGATTAAGAATTTGGGCAGTGGTGGGTTTTTAAGTCACTTTTCCTGTTAGTGTTCTGTACCTTTTAAATAGGCATCAAGCCTTTTTAAAAAGTATCCTTCACTGATGACAGCAGGTCAGCACCTGGTTGGACAGGATTTACTAAATCTGAGGACTTAAGTTTATTTTCCATTGGAGCTATACTTAACAGTGCAGTTTCAATGTGACAAAAAGACAGAACACTAGGAGTAGGAAAAAGAGGTATGAAAAAGGAAATGGTTGGAAAAGAAACCCAGAATCCAAGTCAAAGGAAATCTATTCTCCAAGGCAGTCCTAGGATTGCCTTGTACTCCACAGCCCTCTAAACAAGTACTCCACAACCCTCTAAACCTTTGCTTAGCTATATATTTCATTTGTTTTCCTCTGGTGGCAAATATGTAAATGATTAAACTTATAACCATGACACAAGATTCTGTTACAAATTTCAACAAGACCAAACTTTGGCTTTGAACTATAGAAAAATCATGGTGTAGCAGATATTTCTGGTGCCTATACCACAACCTTTACCTGTATTTACCAGATCAAAGATCAGTTTTTCAAAAGCACACAACAAAAATGCATCACTTAACAATGTGAAAAACAATGTTCAGCATCTTATCAAAATTTAACATATATGAAAAGATGAACTGGAGCCAAGAGAAAATCCAATGTAGACATGACAAATAGAATGGAGTGGCATGCAAACTCTTTAAAATATATTGATAATAGAAATATTAAATCCAAGAATGTAAAGGAAAATACAAACATTGTTGGGAGAGAAATAGAGATATCTCTTTTAAGACCCATGTGGAGTATGAGGAAAAATATAGTGTTTGAATAAGAAATTTTCTAGATGACACTAATAGGAACATAGAAACTAAAGAAGAAAAGATTAATAAACTTAAATTATCAGTAAAATCAGTCCAAATGAAGCAGAAAAAAATTATGAGAGCATCCATGACCTCTGGGATAATATTAGGTGTTCTAATACAGGTATAAGGGAGATTTCAAAGGTGAGAGAGGGAAAAACTTGCAGAAAAGTGGCTAAAATATTTCCAAATTTTATGAAAACTGTAAATCCACAGAAAAAAAAAATAAATGAACAACATACAAAGTAAGTATAAGGGAAGGTAAACCAAGGATCTTAATATTCCTTAAAACCAAAAATAAGGAGAAAAATTTAAAGATGGCCAGAGGCCCTCCCCCCAAAAGACAAATCTAAAAAAATAAAATAGAAATGACAGAATACCAAAAGATAATAGTATGACCACAACAGACAAAAAGAAAAAATTCCTAGACCAAATGAAAATGTCTTTCAACATTGAGGGTGATAAAACCTTTTCAGACATCAAACCTGAAATGCTAATTCTTCATGCAGAAGTATAATGGTACCAGATGAAAGTTGGGAACTCCACAAAGGAATGAAGAGGGCTGGAAATGGTAAGCAGATCAATACGATGAACATTGTATTCATTTTCTATTGCTGCTGTAGCAAATTATCACAAACTTGAGACTTAAAATAACATAGATTTATTTTCTTACAGTTCTGGAGATCAAAATCTTAAATTGGTCTCACTAGGCTAACATCAAGGTGTGTTGACAGGTCTACATTCCTTTCTGGAGGCCCTAGGAGAGAAACAATTTTCTTACATTTTCTGGCTTTTGAATGGTGCCCACCCTCCTTGGCTCATGGTCTCCTTCCATCTTCAGAGCCAGCAGTGACTGAGTGAGCTTCTCTGGTGGTGATTTCTCTCTGATACTGACTTTTCTGCCTCTCTCTTTCCACTTAAGGATTCTTATGCTTATATTTTGTCTGTTATGAGTAATCCAGAATACTCTCCCTATTTTAAGCTAATTAACTAGTAATTAGAAACCTTAATTATGTTACCTTGTAACATAATACTCATAGATTTGGGGCAATGGAATGGATTCGACTTTGGTGCACCATTATTCTGCTTGCCACAATAATAAATGAAATTTCCCCCAGTTTTAGTCCTTTAAAGACAGTTCACTGTTTACATTAAATATAATAAAACACAAACCAAAAGTAAACTTTATTTAGAAACAGAATTATGAAGGAAAACACAAAAAAGTGCATTTTATAGTGCTAAAGGGTATATTTCACAATAAAGATAAAATGGGTGTGAATATATTTGCACCCAACATCAGCCTTGATCACAATAAAATTAAAAATCTAGCAACCACCTTAGGAATTTAAGAATAAAACCTGAAATGAAAGGTCTATTCTTCCTGAAAATTAAAACAAATAAAACTTAAAAGATAAAAATAATACTACACCAACAAGAAGATGGCCCTCTCATCCGTAAGTGAAAAAAAAATCAATAAAATGCGAAGGGGATTCTGGGAAGATAAGAACCGTGTCACCTCAGGATTTTTTTTTTAATTCTCCAAATCCACACTAAAGACAGAGAGACTATACAACAAAATGAAATTTCCATGGACAACACTTAGATTTAAAAAAAAAATACGGGTGACAAGGTAGTCTGTGAACTCCCAGATGCAACCAGGTGCGGTCAAAGAGCTACCAGGCTAAAGGGGAATAGCGAATAAGATGGAGAGATGGCCTTCCCCCCACCCCCCTCAATAGTAGGTGAATGAATACAAGGGGGCTGCAGGAGACTTGGAAGCACTGAGTCAGCCTAGATCCTGTCTTAAAACTAACCCCTTCAAGGACAGAGCACCACACTGAGGAGAAACCTCTGTGAGTAGGATTAACACTGAGCAGGAATAGGGAATAAAGATGAAAGCAAGAGAAGATCCAGATGAAAGTGAGAAAAGAGACGAGGACCGGAAAGTCTTAGAAAGCAGCCACCATATTTTTTTTAACATTGCACACATATATCCTTCCCAAAAGGCGTAAATGAATGAATGGAAAATAAAGAGAAGAAAAAATGTCAAAAGGAACAATAACAAAAACAGAAGTAGGAACTCTGTGAAGCTTAAAACATTAATGAGTAAGGGTTTAAAGGGACAGAGTGTATACAATGGCTACGTGCTCAGAATAAGGTTTATAAGTGCAACAATTAAAAATAAAGGGTAAAATTGGTAAATAAAGAGAAAGATCTGAGGATTTGTCTTGTGTTTTCTGTATGGTTGGCAGCTAGGGAGAAACATTTCTATGAAAGAATTACAAGTAATAAATGAGAAAGAAATGATGAAATCAGATGAGCATCCTTCTGAAGCCTCCAGGGAATGACTAGATCTAGACAATCAGTATCAGTGGCTGCCAACACCACAACAGGAGAAACAATCAGGCTCCATGCCTTCTGATGAAAGGACAGACCATCACAGACAGTCTTGCCAAAGGGATAGAACACAGGTTGATCTGGCTGCCAATTTGGAGAAAATACAGAGGTCAGAGGAATAAACTGAATTGCACCATGAATGTGCAATTGGCTAAACCTAGACTATGGGAAACTCCATAAGTCATGTGTGCCAGTTTCTTCAACAGAGGTACTGTCAGGGAAGGAAGGGCTAAAAGGTGAACCTGCGGATTAAAAGAATATGAAAGACATGACCATTTTTTAAAAAATGATCAAGGGTAAATGTGGGTCTGTAGGATGCATACACATGATACTGTAAAAATATTCAAGGGGGTGAAGAGACCCAAATCATTTCTGAAGACCATTTATAAATAAAGTGATATTGGAAGTTTGTATCCAAATAGCTAAAATAGTGATCAGAGGACAATATTTATTGTCTGGAGTACTTATATTTACATTTATATTAAATCATTAAAAATGGATTAAATATTCAATTAAATATTCAATTCAATTTGACTAAATATTCAATGGATCAAATATTCAATTAAATATCAATTTAAATACTTGATAAAAGCATAAAATTGTTTACCTAAGTTAGTTTGAAAACATAAATTTCTAAAACACACAAATTCAAAAGCTAAATCTTCAGAAAAACAGTGAAATCAATGAACCATTTAATAACCTAATCAAGAAAAGTCAAAGGAAAAATAATAAATACACAAGCAAGCTGAGAAGAGGAAATAGCTATGACTATGAAGGACATGAAAAAGTATCATATGTAGCATACGCAATGCTTTCCTTCCCTGACCCCACAATGCCTCTCTAAACTTCATGTTAGGAAACCTTTGAAATGGATAATTTCCACGGAAAATAAAATTTACGAAGCTAAGCAGCACAGAGGGCTTTAAAAATCTCAATTACTAATCGAAAAATGGAGTAAGGTGATAAAGAGTTACAATATTTTCCCTCAGAATCACCAGGTTGTACAAGGAGCTGGATCTGGCCCTAAACATTAAGAAAGAAAGAAAAGGAAGAGAATTCTGCAGCTAGTTATACTGTTCTACAGCACAGGACAAGGAAATCTCCCACCTTTTTTATGCCTCTAGCATAACACTAGAAATAAAACTCGACAATGATTGCACAAAAAAAAACACTGTAACAAATCTTATTTATAATTATTGAAAGAAATATCAGTAAATCAACTCCAACAACTCAAAGAATAATGTACTGTTACCTAGTAATTTATTTTAGCAATGTAAAAATGGTTCAGTAATAAGAAAAATCATTTTTATAAGTCATCATATTAATAGATTCAAGGAAAACACTCTTACAATGATCTCTAGATGTTTTGAAAAGGCATTTGATAAAATGAAACATCCATCATTTAACAAATAATTGAAGTGAATTGTTTAATTGGAGAGGTGAAAATATTCTCAACATGATAAAATATTTCTCACCACACATAAGGCAATATAATACTTAATAGTAAGGAACTAGAAATAATGTCTTTGTAATGTGAAAAAAGACCATAAGTTCCTCTATCATCACTAATATTTCATTAATAATAATATAGACCCAAAAATTTGACAAATTTTGTAAAGATACAAAAATTGGGAAGAAGTAAAATTATATTTTGTTGGTGGCTGATTCAAAATTAACACCAAATCAATGTATTTCATATAGACAAATAGAAATAGCAAATATAAGATTCCATTTACAATAGCAGCAAAAAGAAACAATACCAGAAAAAACTACAGGAAGTTGTGCATAAGTGCATAAGTCTGAATAAGTGTTTTAAATACTCCTAAGAGAAGAAAGAAGACTTGAACAAATGGCAAGTCATACCATGTTCCTTAATCATAAGACTCAGCATTATAAAAATGTCAGTTTCTGCTAAATGAACCTATAAATACAACATTATCCCAATAAAAACAACAACACTTATTTTTCTGGGACCAGGAAGCTAATTCTGAAGTTCACATGGAGAAATAAGCAAGCAAAAATAGATAGGAAAAACTCTGTAAAAGAAAAGTAATTATGCTGTATTAAAGAGGAAGAAAACACTATTATAATAAACTCGCTATAGGCGCAAAAACTAAAACAGTGTGAAGCTGGACTTGAAGAGAGAGACAGATTATTGCGCCATAATAAAAAGCAAAGAAATGAGCACAAATATATTGAGATAATATCCCAAATTTGTAGGGAAAATAATTATTAAATAAATGGTAACAGCACAACAATGCACCTATATAGAAAACAAAAACAAAAAAGTAGATTCACATCACAGATACTATTTTCAAATAGATTCCAGAATTATCAAATGTCTGAATACAATCATTAAAACCTTAAAGGAGCTGTAAGAAACACTTTACAATCTTTGGGGAAGGCTTTTCTACATATGACAAAATCCAGAAGCTTTTAATAAAAGGGGATAGATTTGGATCCCTAAATTTTTTTTAAAATTGCAAAGCTTTCACAAGCAGCTTTTTAAAAAAAGGCAAATTGGGAAAAATACTTACAATTTATGTTACAAATGAAGGATTAATATCTCTAATATCTAAAGAATCCTATAAATTAATAAGAAGGAAAGACCAATTACCAAAAAAAAAAAAAAGGGGGATTAAGGGGCAGTTTACAGAAAATACAACTTGTTTTCATACATGAAAAGATGTTTTACTCCATCATAATAAAAGAACTGCACATTAAAAATATACTGAAAAGCTATGAGTTTTGTATCAAATTGTCAAGTATCAAAGTTTGATAATCTGTATATAGATGTGGAGAAATAGGCACACTCACATTTCTCACAGGTGTGTAAATTCGTTGAAACTTCTGGAGGGCAATTTGTCAAAATATTACAAAATTGAACATCTGTACAATCTTTGACCTTGTACAATCATTTCTCAGAACTTATCCTAAAAGACACTTTCACACACACTTAATAGTTTATCTGTATCTACACAATGTGAGTAGTTTTAGCATCAAGTTCAGAAACAATCAAAATGTGCATCAATAATAGACAGGTTAATGTTTATCCATGCAGTTATAAAAAGATTTAAGAACCTCTTTACATATTGATATTGAAACGTTTCCAAGAAAAATTGATAAATGTTAAAACCAAAGATACTTGAGTTTTCTAGAAAATGCCAAGTTGTACAATAAGAGGCACAGAATTTTACCATATGAGGAAAATGTGTATGTATGTGTGTGGAAGAGAGACATATATATGCACACATATTTATCTAGACCTACACATTTATAGCATATACACATACATGTATCATATATATGATAGGTATGTATGCATATGTGTATATACATCTTTACTTGTATAGATAAAATAGCCCTAGTTAAAAGTTTTCAGAGAAGTATTCAAGAAACTATTATTAGTCACATGAAGGAGGAAGTGGCTAATAATAGTAATGGTAGAAAAAGTATACTTTTCAAAATATTTTTTCTTTTGCTTTTTTATCTTTATTGAGGTACTGATACACAAAAATTTATAGTGCATATATATGTTTGATGTATATCTATGTACATATCTGTAAGTATAATGATATGTATTAATCAAGTATGTAATATAAACTTGATGAGTTTGTATATACACATACACCAAGATACCATCTCCACAACCAAGGTACTAAACTTATCTATCACTTTCAAATTTCAAAAAACTTACTTTTTTGTGTGTGGTGTGTGTGTGTGTGTGTGTGATTGATTGGCTTGTTTGCTTGCTTTTTTGGTAAGAATATTTAAGATGAGATCTATCCTGTTAACATATTATGGGTGCTTTGGAGGTAGGTGTGGTATGATAAAATACATTGGAAGAGGTGTGAATCTGTACTCCTAAATTATATACAATGTTATAAACCAATGGTACCCCAATTTAAAAAGTTATCAAAAAAATCTTAAGTGCATAAGATTTCTGTTATGCAAAGAGTAAGTTATAAACATCTGTTATACAACATAGTACCTACACTTACCTTTCTGAAATTTAAACTGTGTGTATCCACTAACTTAAAAATATGTATATATATGTAGATGTACATATTAAATCTACATAAAATATTTGTAGGTGAGCACATATATACATAAATATAAAAATACAGAATATGAAAAGCATTTCCTCTGGTTTGTGTGACTATTAGTGATTTTCACTCTTCTGTGTTTTCTAGATTTTCTACAATAACTTCATATAATGGAAGCTATAAATGTCACACTTAAAAGAATAGAAGGATCTTGGTAGACTGAAAAAAAAGCTCAGCATTTACTAGGAGAGTCATTTTTACTATGTCTGGTTCCAGATCCAACACTTAGCAGCTAGTTACCATTCATCATATTTTCTAACTCATCTGAGTTTTAATTTTCTCATCTGTAAATTGGGGACAATATTGCCTTTGTCTGTTTTCCCAAATCTGAGAGAAAAATCAAATGATAAAATTATATGAAAGAGCTTCTAAATCATCGTGCTACAGAAATATACAGTATTGTTACAGTTAATTATGTAAGAAACACTACTGAAGTATGAATTTTCTCTGTTTTTTGCTTAAGATACAATTGACCAAGGAGTTGAGCAAAACCAATTAGGCTCTCACATAGCTGCAAGGCAACTGAGTTCTGTCTTCAACCATATTTCCTCTCAGAAAATGTAAAGAAGAACAAGAAGTTTCTATGGTAAAAATTCTCAGCCAAGGAAATAGTCTTGCCTTGTGTTCTGCTGATGCCAGCAGTCACCCTAGTAAGACATCCAAGTCTATCCACTCTGTTCCACCAGGACCAGTTCATTTCTGCTGCACAAATTGGCTGCATTGTGCACGTGGAACTCTGGGGACAAGTGCTTTGCTGTCCATACTCAGAAAAAGTCTGAATGGACTCAACGCCCAGTCCTGGGCTCCCCTGAGAGGTTCCCCCCCACACACACACACCTTCAAATTGCACCCTCAAATTGCATACATGTGCACACAGATTTATCTAGATTTTTTAAAATTATGCATAGGGTTACCAGAGAAGATGTTGAAACCATGAAATAATAATAGTTATGTGAGCTGGAATGTGGGATTGGAGCTCAGTACTGCTTGTAAAACAGTATATCGTTTCAACAAAAACAAGGCCAAAAGATCAAAAACAGTTCTGAATCAGTGTCCAAAAGGCTCCTTATTTAAGTAATGGTTTCAAAAGATTTTTTTCCTTAACATCTGAGGCAACAAACCAGACATGGGTAGGCAGCTGGATTCCCCTCACCTTGGCCAGCTCGCTGGCTTTCCCTCACTCCCTCTTTTTTCAGACATCAGGATCTTACAAAATGTTTTAAGTGGAAAACCTAGCCAATGTAAGTGCTTAGGAAATTTATTCACTTAAGGTCATGGACCAATGCAGTTCTATCTGCCTCACCACTCAGCGGGGTGTCTCCAAATATCTTGAGGGATGTTGCAAAATGCTAAAAATAAATGGAAAAAGCAGATTTAATTGATTCAAGTTTTTTTCCTTTAATTTGTTTTATACCATACACAGTCCTTTAGGGGAAGTTAGGATGGGTTAAAAAAAAATGAAAACAAAAACAGCAGCCACCACAAATATTACAAAAGTTTGGAGATAGTTGCTTCAGATATTTAGGAGATAGTTTAGTGGTGTTGCATATAATGCTCATTAGAGTGTGCTCCAAGGGTTATATACCTTCTGGGTTCAAATCTCAATTTCAACATTAGCCGTGTAACTTTGAATTCTTCTGTACCTCTTTTTGTTCTTTTTTGTTTGTTTGGTTTCCTGTCTCACAGAGTTACTGTGGGGGTTGAATATAATCATTCCTGAAAAACATCGAGCACGATCTCTAGCATATAATAAGCCTTCAATTAATTTTAGCTATTATTTTAATTTTTATTAGAGGTATAACATCACAGAAAATTACCATCTAGTTAGTCTTGAAACAGCTTGACAGAGTTAATGTTTTTCCATAGCACCTATCCTAAGCATCTTACTACCAGAGAGATAGCAAGCACCTTGTAGCTTCTGGTCTTAAATTCAGAGATCCTGCCTTTCATCATGGAAGGTTAACATGTACTTTAAAAAAAAAAAAAGCAGGCCTCCCTGGTGGTGCAAGGGGTTAAGCACCATACTATGAAGCGATCGAAGCCTCTGCAGCATGAGTTCGATCCCCGGCCAGCCAGGGAGCAACCCACATGGCGAAGCAGACCTCTCCTGTCTCAACCGCTGCTCCCCTCAGCAGTGTGTTTCAGTCAGTCTGCCTGTTCTCCCTGCTCTGTCTCTGGTGGATCCTCTCACCCCCTGCATTTCTGGCCTGTACCCCAGTTCTTGTATGCATAAATAAATAAATCTTAAAAAAAATAAAATTTTTAATTTTTTTTTAAAAAGCATGCAAGAAGGCTAAACTTTGTCTTCCATCTTGCAATGAAGGATGCTGAAATTTTGGTATGCTACACTCTATTTTTTTTATTAGACTGACTCTTTTCTTACTGCATTCCAGCTCATCTCTGCTTTGACAGACGGGTGGGCAATGCAGGAGCAGCACGGAATACACTGCTTTGTTTTGGTATCTTAACACTTCAGACAGATGAAAAGAATAGTCCTTAAACTGGCCCATCTCTGTAGAACGTGTCTTCAACAAAACATACTTCATTTTTTCCATTAGTATAACCAAATGACCTGTTAGTAAATGTTTTAGGGAACAGATCATAGAAAGAAGAAAACTAAAGGCATATTTGAGTTTATGGAGATACCTAATTTTCCATCACTGAGAGATGTTCTCCTTTATCTCCATGTATGTTATTCATCAAGGCATCTTGACACTATTTACTGGAAAGTAATGGCACTGTTTACCAGAAAACTAGCTTAATCTGCTACTCATTGTTTTCATCAGTTAAATAAAACTGACCTTTCATCTTTAGCATTGTGCTTCCAACAAAGTCCTGCCAAAATCACTAATGATCTGTGTTCCTCAGACAGCTGCAAGACATTCTCCATGAGCTACGGAATGGTGGGATCGTCACCCCATCCAGAGATAGAAGGACTCAGTCTTAAAGGTCACGTTAACAGGTTAGCTCTCAAGCCAAGCCGTTGGGATCCAGGAGAAAGAAAAAGCAAAGGTAAGATGCTTAGAAAAGAGAATCCCCGGGTCTGGTATAAAAACCCCTAAATCAAAAGCATTCCATCATTAAGACTGAATTGACAAAATCAGAGCAAGGATGGAGTTGACAGTCAACTGATAAAATCAAATTTTGTAAAGCTCCCCACTGCAAAAGCAGTATAGGTCGTCTACAGTAGAACCTGGTTTACCCTGTTCAGTGTTCTTCGGTATTCAAGATGACCTGAACCCCTGCCAACCCTCCCTTTCATACAGAATGATATCAACAAGGCACATAATTTTGTTTTACTGCTCATGTTGATAAGTGTTTATGTGAAGGTAAGCTCAGTCTCAATTTGGCCATGAAAGACCGAAGTTTAGGGCCTTTCCAGTGGCGCAGCGGTTGAGCGCTGGGTTGCAAAGCTGCCTGCAGCCTCTGCAGCACCGGTTCGATCCCTGGCCGCCGGGTGAGGGTCCCACATGGCGCGCAGACCTCTCCTGCTGCCCAGTGCTCCCCTCAGCAGTGTATTTCGTCATTCTGCCTGCTCTGCTCTCCCCTCTGACTCTGGTGAATTCTCTCACCCTCCTGCGCTTCTGACTGTACCCAGTGCTTGTATAAATAAATAAATAAATCTTTAAAAAAAAAAAAAAAGACCGAAGTTTACTCATTCACAGATGATAGTTTAGTTATCCTCAACCTAACTCTAACACCCAAGCACACTGCTAGCATTCTCACACAGGTCACACTAGCATTCTCACACAGGTCACACAGGTCACAAGCTCTCAAATCTTGGGGTCTTGCCTGACGCTTTTGCTTACCCACCATTGAGCCTTCCAACACTGACAATACTTGGAATATCCTTTGAGAAATCTCTTCATCCCACTCCATATATTTTCATTTGTATACCTAGGTTCACTTACAAGAATATTCACTACAGAAAAATTTAGTTAAAGTAATTACAGGGATGGGCCTCCCCGGTGGCGCAGCGGTTGAGCGCTGGGTTGCGAAGCTGCGCGCGGCCTCTGCGGCGCCGGTTCGATCCCGGCTGCTCCCCCACCGGAGGAGGGTCCCACATGGCGCGCAGACCTCTCCTGCCGCCCGCTGCTCCCCTCAGCAGTGTACTTCGGTCCTTCTGCCTGCTCTGCTCCCCGCTCTGGCTCTGGTGAATTCTCTCGCCCTCCCGTGCTTCTGACTGTACCCAGTGCATGTATAAACAAAACAAACAAAGAAACCAGCAAACAAATAAATAAAGCATGCCTCTATAAAAAAAAAAAAAAAAAAAAAAAAAAAAAAAAAAAATAAAGTAATTACAGGGCATCCATACTTGAATGGTACATAGAATTTAGAACGTGTCATCCTATATGTCCTATCTTGGAACAATCCCCACGATGATTAAGTGAAAGCACACGCTATAAAATAACATGTGTATCTTGATTTAATTTATGTTAATGCATTGTAGACACATAGATATATATTCAAATGCACAGACCTACTCTCAACGGAGACGCGCTGTACTGACAATGATAGTTACCTCTGAGGAAGGTGACTATTTAGAGAAACATCATCTTCAATTACATTATTCTACATCATTTAAATTGTTTTAATAAGCATACAGTTGTAATACAAATGAGCAAGATTTAAAATCAAATTTGTGAAAAAGAACCAAGACTTAAGAATGAAACATTTTTTATAGAAGTGAATTCTGTCCTCAGACTTTGGAAATCACTTTGGGTTGTTATCAAAAGTGTGTCTATTCATGAATATAGGGACCAGGAATTATTTTCTCTTCAGACAGAGGTAATTGAAAAAGCAAGTCTTCAGCATATCATTCACTCTTTGTGCACCTGTATAATACCTGTATAATACCAAGGAGGCCCTGGTGGCACAGGGTTTAAAGTCTCAGTATTATCAAGCTATCACCAGCCACTGTGGCATGAGTTCTATCTCAGGCCAGCGAGAATCCCACATGGTGTGGCAGACCTCTCCTGTCTCGCCTGCTGCTCCCCTCAGCAGTATATTTCAGTCAGTCTGCCTGTTCTGTTCCCCATTTTGTCTCTGGTGACTCCTCTCACCCCTCCCCGCCACACACTCACCTTTGGCCTACACCCCAACTCTTGTATGCATAAATAAAATAAATCTTTAAAGCAAACAGCTCATGTATGTCTTCCTTGTCTTAATCCCTGTTATCAAAACAAAGTAACAGTTGTTGTCAGTGTATGAAGATCTTTACAGATTTACAAATCCATATGTGAATGTCAGAAATACAAAGTTTTATTCTATCTTTTGATTCCTCAGAAAAGTATCTAAGCCCTGGAGGCTCAAGGGCTCTAGAGCTTCAGGAAGTGTACATCAGTCAGCCTCTCCAAGTGGTCCTCTCGTCTCTCTCACACCAAAGAAACAATATCTTTGGTTTTCAACTCCAAAATTTTGGTTATTTTATACCTCTGAGTTAGGCAAAAGATTAAGAACTGGCTAATTATTTGTGGGTGGTCCAGTAGCAATTTTAGAATGAGGAGATAGTTGCTACTTGTTATTTTGGGACCTCTGCCAAAACTAGAAATGAATTGCATTTAATGTTCTCTTAGTCAAATTTATTAAATTAATTTTAATTTGTGGTTCCCATATTCAACCACATTGCTTGACTCTTATTAGTTTTATCAGTTATTTCTCTTTAATTTTTTAGCATAAAAATAATTATACTATTAATGATGATTGCTCCTTACCAATACTTGTATCTCTTATTTTTCCTGTTTTCATGCATTGGCTAAAATCTCCAGTGCAAACTTTAGACTATCAGTGATAGAAGACAATCTTGTCTTTTTTCTTCCTTGATTAGAAATACATCTAATGTTTCATCACAAAGCATGATGTTTGCTTTAGATTTTTGTTAGATGCCCTTTACATTTTTTTAAACCTATCCTGTTTCTAACTGATGAAATATTTTTATGATTTATGGGCCATTGAATTTTATCAAATGTTTTTTCTGCATCTACAATTGTAAGGATTTTCCCCTTAATCTGTTTATAATGTACTAAATTCCACTGGTAGATTTTTCTTGTATTGAGTCATCTTCACATTTCTAGGATAGCTCTATTTGGTCATGTGCTGTATTCTTTTAATACACAGTTGTGTCCTATTTGCTGATATTTCATTTAAAAATGTGTCCTATATCTGTGAGTAAGAATTTTTATGCTTCCCTTTGCTATTATTTCCCTTGCCAAATATTTGGGAATCTGTTTAAATGAGTAACAGCTTTCTTGTGTTTTTGGTATACTGGACTGATTTATGGATCTTGGAGATTATCTGCTTCTTTTCTTTTTCATTATTTTCTTTATGGAGGTGACATTGGTTTACAACACTGTATATGATTTAAAGGTATAAATCATCAGTTTCTTAAAGCTTTGGATCTTCTACCATTTATAATCCTAGTCCTTTATTTTCTTTTCACTGTTTTCTAATTTGTTTTGTTTATATAATTTGTTATATAATTTATTTATATAATTTACATTTTCCTATAAGATTATTCATTTAGTTTAATCTTACAAATATGCTTTTAGAATTTATTATTAATTAAAAAAGCAAATATGCTTTTAGGCAGTTTCAAATATATTCTAACATTTACTCTTTTTTCTATTAGTATTTATGACCCTATCTCTTTCTTAATGACATTTCAGTTACCTTTCCATTCTCAATAGAATCTTCCACAAGGTTCTTGTAATTACTATTTCCAAATTAACAGTATTTTATGGATTAATACATTAGTTACTATTTAGATCTTTTAAAATGCCTTACTACTACTTTTTTCAAGTCTATTTTGTTATGCTTTTCAAATATTTTGGGGTTGGAAGCTTATTGCTAATAATTATTACTTTATAATATTTGGCTTTATGGTTATAATTTTTTTCTCTGGACACACTTCATCTGAATTCCACCAGTTTTACTATGTTGTGCTTTCATTTATCATGTTTAAAAAGCATATCATTTACATTTTATTTATAACCCCAAATACATTTGAAATTGATTTCAGTTTTCAATTTGCATTTTTTTTACTCCATTTTGCACAAATTTTTATTTTATTGTGATGAATATGACTGGTATAATTTTCTGCTTGGACGATTTCATTCCTGGCTTCATACGTGATCCAGACTTTTTTAATGCAAATTTTCCATACATATTTGAAAAAAATATATTCATACTTTTTAATGATATGTAAATGTTGATACAGAATTAGATTACTCATTGGGTTATTTAAATTCTGAATATAATTAATTTTGTCAAAAACTTCTGACATCAGCTTGGTTATTTGTCTCTGAATTTCCACATGCCCTGATCTCCCGTCACCGTACCAAAGGCCCCTGATGCACTCAGCATGGCGTCCACTACCCTGGCGTCGGCAGAGTCCTCAAGGACAACAGCCCATCCAGCCTCAAGCTGCTGTCACCCTCTATACTGGCTCAGCCCTAGAAAGTTACATTTCCCCCCTTAGGAAATGAAAACTTGAGTGTCTCTTCATTTTTTAAAATGAGAACTTAAAGTATATGTGAAATAAGTTCTTTTTTTGTTTTGCTTTTTACAACTATTTATATCCTATCCATATGAAAATAATAGCAATAGCAAAGAAAATTCACCAATGATCTAAAAAAGGAATTTTTTTTTAGAGTAAAAGTCAAGAGCTTTCATCCTCAGAGATTCAGAGACAAAACTAGAAAATTCTCTTTGACGGATAAAATCTAACGTGTCAATATTGTATATTTCTTTAATAGTTGATTTCATTATTGAGTTATACATGTATAAAAGGATATACAGTATAAGCTTCCTGTTCCCTGTCCTTGCTCCACTTCAAAGGCAGCATGTCAGCAATCATTTGGGTGCTTGGTCCGAGGGAGCTCTCTACATATCTCACAATGGCCCCCTCTGATTAGGTTGCAAGCATATTTGCAGGAGAACACAGATAACCTCTCGGTGCAGGGGAGGGTAGGGAGGGACTCTTACAGCCTGTGCATGGTGGAGCAACCGGTGAT